TGTCTTCTATCCTCCTCCAAGATGACAGAGTCTTCAGACTGTGGAGACCTTCGCAAAGGTGTACGTTCACCAACGTAGTTCTATGAGGAGTAGGTTCACTCACGTCCGTGGGTTCGCGCAGGTCCGTAGGTATGCGCACGTTGTCAGCAGATGAGAGGCTTCGCCTCTTGCTCGAACCTAAGTTCCATCATGGCCATCATCTGGTTGGTGAATTGCCTCATAAATTCACCCGGATCAAAGTTCTGCGTTCATTGAAGCTGCTGCGGTGTAGATGTAGCGTTCGCAAACGCTGATGAGTTGTGTGTCTCGACTTCACTCCTTTGAGAAGTTGGTGGTAGTTCATCAAACAGCTGGCCTGCTGTGGTAGTTGCAGGAGACGATCTAGTAGTCATGGAAGTTGAGTCGCCAATCTCATAGGTACTTCGGGTAGAAGTGACGGGTATCATCAAAAACGTCTACTTCATGTGGAGGTAAAATCTCTTCATTGAAGGATTTCTGATGCGTTGACTTACTAGGCCACGTAGATTTACCCTCTGATCTGGTAACAGATGCTTTCTTCTGCGACGTAGAAGACGACATATTTCTTACTTTAAGTTGGAGTCAACTGCGTTGTAGCCGATCTCTTCTTGGCCCTCGTACCAGACGACTGCCCCTGCAACGTACTCAACATAGCACCAGTATTATGAATTTTAGTAGTAGCAAGCAACATACAGTTTGCAGGCTGATGTCCTGTTTTATCAGCCGTGACTTGTGATGACTTCCTCACCCAATCCATGGCACGTCTATAGATATAAGCCAAATATTGTTTAAATTGTAGATTTGATAAATCAACACAATAAGTACAGCGCAAGCTGGAAGAACATGGTTTGATGCACGAAGGGCACTGGGGGTGAGGATCAGCCACGGAGAACCTGTGCCTGCAAACACTGCAAGATTTCATGAAATGTAAACAAGTTACATCATGATGAAATTATGACACAAATACAAATAATTTTTACAATTTTTTTACATATAATACAAAGTAGTTATAGCCAAATCCATACACAGCATAATTTTGAAGAATAGGACCTAAATAAAAAAGATATTATGCCGTATACGGGACTCCAGTGCTCGCCCAACCATCCGCTTGGGGCAAAAAGAGAGAGAGTGACAAGTAAAGCTGGTCACATGACCGTTTGCGCTGGAAAGGGCAAAAGGGAGGTAACTCGTGGGTGAGTGTATTTTTACGTCTGCTTCGGAAACTTCAAGGGATTCAAGTGTTCCACTACCATTTGCAAGCGAAAGGGAGATAAGCAAAAGATCATGAGTCAGGACAAGAAAAAATTTATCAAATCACTGTATTGTATCTACCTTTAATTTCCTATTTCTTGATACGGTACTCTTCCCATGCATATTCTAAAGGCATTGACTTAATGCATGCAAACAAAGAGACAAAAGAAATTCATAGAAAATGCTACACAGTGCTAATACTGAATTTTTCTTTGGTTATATTTCCAACAAGCGCAGCATTTCGTTTTCACATCCAACATATTTCGTTTGATTTCATCTAAACACAGGGTTTTGGTGACAAAGTCCATTTGTTATTTGATTCTTAAATGTATGAGGAAATCAGTGGTGTATGTGTCACAACTGAGTGTGAAATATTTGTGATGTAATAGGCGTCTCACGGGTAATAGGCGTCTCACGAAACGTGAGTTTGTAAACATTATCCAATATGGCCGGAACCTCACTTCGACGTTCATGGTCATGTATTTTCCCAAACATCCCAATCATTTAGGTTTATTGGCAACATTTCAGAATTACCATTGGTGATTTGATGAAAATCAGTTATCAGTGATAACTAAGATGTTATTTTTAAATTCAATCCTCTGAGTTATCTGATTTTTACATTTCAAAACATACACCAATTAACACTTCTACCAGTTTCCTCACACACATCAACAAGAATGTTCCATGTTGAAAATTACTTAAAACGTCATCCTTAGCCACACTAAGGTCGGGTCGGACCAACAATACATTTTCACCTTGACTAAGGCTACTTAACACAAGGTAGATTCAAGCAACAGGATGTTAATATGAACAAAAGCCTAAGGTTAAAGCTTAAGATATAGAGAATCTCACCCAAGTGTCTTCTGATATCAATTATATCAACACGAGTTGATAAAGTTACAAATATCCAAGGCTTGCCGGGGATATTTTTACTTTATCAACGAGTGTTGATATATTTCATATCAGAAGACACGAGGGTGAGATTCTATTTATCATCCAAAATCACTCTTCATTAATTTTCAATGAAAAATGTACATCTCTGGACATGGTACTGCCATTAGACTTGCAGTGCAGCGATGTCATAACATTGTGACGTCATCAAGTACATGACATCATAGCATTGTCAGGGCATTGTACAAAGTCTACTGTCAAAACGATATCTCCTAGGAGATATCGTTTGATCTCACACAAGCGATATCTCCTGTGGAACACAGTTTTGGATGATAAAAAAGTAATCTTCGCGCTGAGGTTGTTTTGTACAACAGCCCCACCTGAATACTCTTTGATAAGCAGTGACCAGAACCGCCTTCACCACCAGTTTCCAGTATATCAAAAGTATAGGATAAAGTTCTGTATGTTTATCAAACTTTGTACCGCAGTGTGCTGCCACCGATGAATGAAGCGTACCGTCAGTACTTCATAGCCCATTGCCTGAGTGTCTTCAAACTCAACCATGACACATTCATCCTATTTGTTAGTGGATGTCTCTAATGGGAAGCTTTATATCTCTCCAGTAAGTGACCTCCACAGCTAGATTATAGCTTTCTTGTCTTGGCTAACTCAACCGGATGAAAGCAAAATAAATACCCTGGGAGTTCAAAATTTTCTCTGACAGCCTTTCCCACTGGGGAAAAATTGAAAAACAGAAGACTCTCCTCAAAGAAGTGATCTCCCAGACTGCATCATTTCGGGACACTTCTAATCAAGAAACCACCTTTGATTCACCTTGGATTCATCTAGATGCCACCTGACGTATATGACCTAAGATAAACCAAATTTTGAGGACCAGAAAAGCAGGCTGTAGCAAGGAGCTGGCTCAACTAAAGGTTACACTTTCATTAAAGTCCCTTTTCTGAGTGGTAAGAAAACGGCATAGTATCGCTACACGTGACTGAACTGGAAGTGCATTACACTTGGATGTTATACAGACCTGAAGTGACATCCTTATGAAAAGTAACATCACAAATGCCATTGCAGGAAAAGAGAACAATGTCATTGGGGTGGAAAGTAACAGGAACACATATCATCAACATGTTGTCTTTCGTACCACTATCAATTTCTTTGTTGAATAACCATTCATGTTCTCCATTCTCATGCTTTTGTACATTTGTATGTAACTTATCTTTCTGATCACTGACTCAGAATTCATTTCGTTACATTATTGGATATGTTTTAACTAAATCACCAGTAGATCGTGGGGAAACGTGTGCACAGCTGATTGCTAATTCTGGCTGTGTACGGGACAAATACACACAGTAATCTTAATTCCTGCATATAATACAATGCCCAGCAAACACAAATTAAGACTGAAAAGGTACATAATCTTGTCTAGTGATGTACAATCGCAAATGTGACGTCTTCACTGACAAAAAGTTTTCTCTTGTTCATTCACGCGAAGCGATACGGTGTTGTTTTCTTACCACCAGAAAAAAGTTTGACAAAAGTGGAACCTGTAGATAATCCGACTCCCCTTCAAAAGACTGCATTATTTTGGTCCTCAAAATTCTGCTTATCTACAGTAACATACGGTCCACTGAAACCCATATCTTATGTGTAAAACTGTCACAACAATGTTAAGTCCTACAGGGTGCCTGCTAAGTGAAGATAAACCCTTAGTTTCAAAAACTTGCATTGAACAAGCATTGTCACTAAGGTGACATAATCCCCCGCCGCAAATTATCAAATCAAACTTATAAAGTAATGAAAGTTTAAGATGAAGTTAAATGTCAACAAAAACATGACTAATCAACCTCTCTTGATATCTGGCTTTAGTTGTTCAAACACACACATATTTTTATATCTGGCTTTAGTTGTTCCAACACACACATATTTTCAAGACTGACTTTGACCTTGACATGAATGTCATAGTGTATGAAATAAGAAAAACTAGTACTAAAGAAATTGCTTATTGAAAAACATTCAAGAGAAGTCTTAAAAGTCTATGAAGAAAATCCAGTGAACCGTTCTTAAAATATCTTGCTGACAATTCAGGTTAACATGCTGAAATCTTCAAAGTGTCGTCGTGACCCTAAAAATTATGTGAAGCTCACCAAAATTGACTGGGCCCTGGGCCTTCCCTAGATGAAGCTTGGTGTCAAATATGAAGAAAATCCAGTTCATTTTTTGCGATATCTTGCTGACTATCTTAGCATGCAATGTAACATGCTAAAATCTTCAAAGTGTCTCTGTGACCTTGAAAATTAAGTGAAGGTCACCAAAATTGACTGGGCCCTGCGCCTTCCCTAGATGAAGCTTGATATCAAATATGAAGAAACTCCAGTGAATGTTCTTGAAGTATCTCGCTGACAAGCATAACATGTAGGTTAATATGCTGAAATCTTCAAAGTGTCTCTGTGACATTGAAAATTAAGTGAAGGTCACCAAAATTGACTGGGCCCTGCGCCTTCCCTAGATAAAACTTGGTGTTAAATATGAAGAAACTCCAGTGAATGGTTCTTGAGATATCTTAACATGCAGGTTTACATGCTGAAATCTTCAAAGTGTCACCATGACCTTGAAAATTAAGTGAAGGTCACCAAAATTGACTGGGCCCTGCGCCTTCCCTAGATAAAGCTTGGTATTGAATATGAAGAAATCCAGTGAACGGTTCTTAAGATATTCCAATTCGTACGTACGTACGGACGGACGGACAGACGGAGCCTAATACTATATCCCCCGCTTCGTGCTAAACGCGCGGCGGGGGATAATAATGGTACGTTATATATACTAACCCGACATTCGGAAGTCCAACAATACCAATTTTCAGGTTTGTACCAACTCTACCAATAAGAGGTGCAGGTTTCACTTCTTCCTTCTTCTTAGGTGGCATGATTCAATCTGTGAACAATAAGAAGAACCAAATGATTTATAAAGAATGATCAAGATGTGCATCAGAAGAAAAGAACGTTTTCAGAAAAAGTGCAACACATTTTTCCTTTCAATACAAGCTATAGTCCGTTTGGGTTCAAATGAGAACAACAAATGATTAAGTAACTCCAAATTGGGATAAGTGCACAAAACATAAATATGACACATGGTCCTGGAACCTCTGTACCCAACAGGATCTGAAATTTGACATTTCATTATTGATTGTGGAAAAAGTTGTTTAAGAAATTATCACGGAATATTGTGCTTTTTGCACGCTTCTGTCATGTGTATTTCATCTCATTCCATGCACGTACAACTTCCGCTTTCCATGTTCATGAGGGTACGTTTTTCGCTTCAACGGCAATAGCACCAATTTCACATTATTCTCAACAATCACTGATTACCGACTCGTCATCCATCGACCACTAGTTTACAGTAACATCGGTGAAAACGTGTGAAATGGCATGCTTATTTCACCTCATTCCATGCCCGTACAACTTCTTATGTTCATGAGGGTCCGCATAACCTTAGTGTTGATTATCCATATTTTACATTTATATTGCAAAGCCTGTAAGTATAATTACACAATGCTAAGATATATTTCTCTTGGTAAAATAATAGTTTTAGATATTATATTGCCGGGGAAACGTGTGCAAAGCTGATTGCTATTTCTGGCTACGAGACAAATACACACGATAATTTTAATCCATGCATATAATACAATGCCCAGCAAAAACAAATTAGAACTGACAAGGTAAATAATCTTGTCTAGTGATGTTTAATTGCAAATATGACGTCTTCACTGACAAAGTCGTTTTTTCTTTATACTTGTGCAAAATGATACTATTTCCAGAAAAAAGGTTTGACGAAAGTGTTACCTGTAGATAAGCTGACTCTTCTACAGGCTGCCTTTTTTGGTCTTCATAATTCGGGCTAATCTACGATAAGGAATTACCTTTCTTTGAAAGGACTTTAATGAGTTTAAATACGTAAAACTCTATCTTCGAGGTAAAGCGAGCAGTCACTCCTTGTGCTTTTCCCTTGGAGAATAACGCCTTTATTACGCATCCATATTTACGTATCTAAATAAATAGTCATAGTAGAACAGTAGTACCCAGATGCAAAAGTTTGAGTGGTGGTTTCATTCCCCACGGTTGAATGTTTTTGATTCACTTTTCTAGTCAGTCACCGGCATTTAGTCATGTAGTGTTTATATGACATCTGACAAGATCTGTTGTTTATTGAATGGTTGGTAATTGATGCTGTTGATGATAAATTATATACCTTAAAAGAACAAAAAACATTTCTTTTTTTTGTGTTCCTCTACATGTTCAACCATCTATCTCTGAACTGTACTTGCTTACCTTTAGAAGTCTGAGACAATAACAAACGATTGATCGGTAGGGCCAATCAAATTGTAACCGATGATCGATTATGAAATCACGACCGATTCCCACCACTACTGGCATTGATGGCTACTGAAAATTTGGTGAGATCATGTAGATCCTGTCAACAAATTCAAAAAATGCCAAAAGCTGCTGCTACACACCCTTGGTCCTGGCACTGTGGAGAAGAATTAATTTGGATTTTGCAGGTTCTCACCTGAACAATATGTTCCTTATTGTTGGTGCCTATTCAAAATGGCCTGAAGTAATTCAGATGAGCATGTTAAATACCTTAACAGATGAGCACAGTTAAGCATGAATACCCAACTCAGACACATTATACTGAGTATTTAGATGAAGTATCTGAAAATGAGACTGTGTTGAAAGGAATTGTTTTAAATGTAAATTTACGAATTTATGACCCTTTGATTCTGAACAGTGTTGACGCTTTCGATTTCATTTTTTTATTACTATCTAAATTTGTCGTTAGAGAAATTCAACTAATATGTTTATTTTCAAGAAGCATTACCATAACATGATTGTTAACTGTATTGACCGTAATATGTCAGGAAAGGCTGATATGACATAATATTCACAACATTTTATAGATTTGATGCTACGGTCGTAATGGTAAGCCATGTGCGTAAATACGGTTTGCTATGGTGTCTGTTACCGGTTGCTAATGGTCACAACAATAGTGAAATCAACACATTAACAATTACTGCAGTTTGTAAAACTCCATTTCAGAGCTGATTTAACTTCAAAATAGAAAGAAATTGAGATCTGATGCCTGGTTTTATGTCATGAGGAATTGTTTCACAATTATTTGAATTCTAATATTCAAACTTGGGACATCAAGGTTGATACTTGAAGAAGATGGATCATAATCTCCCAGTGTGGAATCTCCCAAACTGAACCTGACAATAGGTTTTTAAATCCAGACATAAATCGGATTAACTGACCATGAAACAGTCTGTAACCTGTTTTCCAAAAAGCAATGACCTCTTTGCTGAACAGCAGATTCATTGTAGTTTGATAACATCCATGAAAAAATGGAAGGCGCTGTTTTCTGTTGGGAATGTACAGTCGGCTAACAATCGACAGAAACGTTTCCATTCTAAATATCTACCAACTTCTCTAAAACTATCTACAACTGATGGTAATAATTTTCAATATCTTTGTCAATACTCTCATTTTGTGAGTCTGAGGTGTCACTACTAAGTTTGCCACCTTCTCCAAAAGCTTCGTGACTTTCATCATCACTAATTTCTTTACTAGAAAAGACCGTACTTATTTGTGATTCTGTACCACCAGTTGTACTTGTTTCTGGCTCCGCACTGGATTCATCTTAGAATGTCTCACTTTCATATGCATGCAGTGTGATGTGCTCATTATCAGGTGACGGAAGTACCTTTTATCCGTTATCGCGAACTTTTATGGGCACATTTTGAAATTTTTGGTCACATATTGCAATTTGCCCATCAGTGGCGAGTCACTGGCGACAAACATTCTGCTCTAATTTTTGGTTCATTTTCTGGATGGGTGTTACAAATTTTTTGGATAATTTCGTCAAATAGGGCACTTTTAACATCGGAGCCATGACACCTGTACTTCATGGACCTGGAAGACCAAAAAAGCAAACCATATCAACAAAAGCAATGCTAGCAAACAGTTTCATTGAAAACAACTTGCCACTAGCAAACGTGTCTCTCCACGTGTAGCAAGCCATAGCCTCTCAAATTAGAAATTCGTCTGTAACTTCACTATTTAATTGAAATTATCCACATCCAATTACACACATACATATCGTAATACTTGTCACCTGTTATAACATTGGTTTGTGAAATGTATGTTGTTATGACAATTAAAACCAGACATTATTTCCATTTGATGCCAACACATACCAAATAACATCGATTTTTACACAATTAATGTAACATTTGGTCCGATTATTAGATAAAGTCATTAGGTAACTATTATGTTATCATAATACGATAAATTTGCCCCCAAAGGCATAACGTTTTACTTTACTTACACAATTTCTGCGGCAAGACCACATGGTAAAAAGTAGTTTCAGCCGTAGCGAGCCGTTACTCTGTACATAGCAAACCATAACGGCCACTAGAACGTCTTATCGCTGGTGCATATTACAGGGTGTGATTTAAAAGAGCTATGAATGCAGCCAACCCGAATTCAAGTACAGTACAGAAGAAATGTGAACAGTTCCTATTGATGTACAAGTCTACTCCACACTGTACAACAGGAGAAATACCTACCAAACTGTTTCTTGGGCATGACATTACAACTAGACTGTACCTGTTGAACCCAGATTTAATATAAACAGTCACCGGAAAACAAGTCTTCCAAACAGTCGAGGCATCAAGAAAATTAGATGTGGGGCAAAAGGTCTGGGCAAGAAACTATAATGCCATAGGTGATAGGTGGGTGTGCGGGACAGTATTGTCTGAAGATGGTGCACAAAATTATACCACTGAAGCGGGTGACAAAAGTCATTAGACGTCACATTGACCAGATCAGGACGGCAAAGTATTGACAACCCAGCACCCGAGTTTCTGTCCCATACAGCACTGCCGGTGGAGGCTTTCAGTGCAACAGCCTCCTCAGGGTCCACACCACCTAATCATGCAAAGAGCCAAGACGTTTCGCATGAGGTTACAGAACTTATACGCTCTGCAAGAGTCTCCAGACCACCTGATAAACTGAATCTCTAATGTTTCAAGAACTTCAACTGTTTATGGACTTTTGAATGACTCAGAAAGTTTTTTCATATTTTTCCAATTCTAAAGAGAATTCTACTTCCGGAGTTATTGTGTTAAAGTACTGGGTACTCATGTTTATACACTATAAATAACTTCTTTATGTTACATGATCATGTTTGCGACATTAGTGACAAAATCATAATTACATCACGTCCACGTGTGCACAAAGTAAGGCTGATTAAATACTGAAGGTCAAGTTCATCAGTATCGATCACGGGTCAAAACAGGAAATGCATAACATTATGCTATTGCATGTTAATCACCTGAAATTTCCATTTATCCACCAAAGCATTTCCATCTATACACAATACAATATCTTAGCAAATACCACTTTAGAAGGCCACTAACCAACATATTTATAGCGTATACACTGATAAAAGTGACGATGTCTTCCCGACACTTCCCTTTTCAATAGTATTTCAATCTCAAGTGTCATTAAAAGATTAAAGCAACTAAAACATCATAAATATTTCAGCAAATCTACATAAAGACCACATTATGACTAAACTTACTGTTTTTCACAAAAACTTAGTGTGAAGCCCTTTTTCCTACACTCTTTACATACTGTTCATACTGTCCAACTGTCAAAATCATGCTAAACATCACAGACAGTGTGCGAAAGTTACACTGGTCCTGTGGTGCCTGGATAGTTAAGATTCATCAGGACCACTAAATGATAAGTTTCCAGTGGTCCTGGTGGCCAGTGAATTCAGTATTGATAGTTAATTAAATTTATGAATGTTATTTTGGACCAGTGAAGTTCTGACAGGACCACTAATCAATGCTAATTGTAAACCAATAGTGAGTGCTTTCCGCAATCTGATTGGTTAATTACCCTTGTCGAATATTGTTCGACATACCTGAAAATGATGGCCTAATAACCGCACATTAATACGTTGGCACTAATACCGTACTATTTTTGCTGCATGAATTTGCATAATTGAGGAACATTACCACCTCAAATTCTTTCTCTGGGATTTTGATACAATCTTTGAAGACGACAAATTCTTGGAAGAATTATTCAAAGATGATAGTGTATACAATCACATGGCACATAATCATATGTGATCAGATAATAGTAAAATGATTGAAGAGCCATAAAATAATATCCTTCAATGATGTTTATTCACAAATGAACTGCTCCGCAAATTTCAAGCATTCATGTTTTTAATTTGGTACAATATTCCAAGTTTAAAGATTATTATTCAGCCAAAGAATAAGTTAATGATACTTGTTTCTACATATTGATCTTCCAAAATACACCAATCCCAGCACTCCGGACGTTTCCACTTCGAAATTCCAGCACTAACGCTGACCCAGCTCCATCTTGTTCACCAAGCGTCCCTCCACAGTCCCGCTTTGCTAAGGTTGACGAGAATGGCCTGAGGGAAATAACTGATGGGTCATTATCGAAAGCAACTAAGAGAAATACAATTTTCTTCAGAGGTATGCAACATTTAACACTTTGTAAACAAACCAAAAGGAAGTTACATGTTAGTTACCTCCCTTTCGCTAGACTGTCACCCGGCTTCTAAACAGAATTATCAAAGGTATAAAAGCAAATATAGTTATTATTTCTCAAAAACAGCTTTCAACAAGAGTTACATCTGATCTAACACTGAATGATAATATCATGATATACTAAAATAGCAAAAAATAAATACTAATCGGTAATTATGAAAAGGCTACTAATGCAGTCTAGGAAATCCCACTGACACAAGACCAAGCATCTCAAAACAATTAAAAATGTTGAAATCTTACCTTTTGTGTCCGGTTTCATCCTTCAAATCGTACAAATCCCACATGAATCCCAATAATGAATCTTTCTTTCAACATCCGAAATCTGTCGTCGATATCCGCGATTCTGTTGGGTACACCTCACTTCAGTCACGGTGCGTTGGCAAAAATTCACTGTCACAAATGATGAAAAACATCTCCAAGAATGCCAAGTTGCCACACACATACACAAATCACTGCCTTTGCACAACAGCCGTCACAACAGCTATCCCATGCCGGAATCGAGTTGAAAGTTTAAAATAATACTGCACTGAATCCAACAGTGTACAGAAGAGGTCGTACTTGGCCATTTTGCAGGGGTCTGATCGCCAATGCGTCGATTCTCATCTTGGCCCTTTTCACACTTGCAAAGTTCTTTAATTGTATCCGTGATGGGAATGTTTCAGGGCATACACAATTCTACCATAAATGTCAGCTTCGTTAAACGATAGTAGGCCTAACTTTACACCATCAAATCCTTGTGGTCATCCTTGATTGGACCAGTCTACATAAGATTACATGAGGTGGAGAAGGTAGCATAAAATGGAATTCTTTCATTGTCATTGCCATTCCAGTGGTATTGCAGTAATTGAGATTGTAATGTTACTCATCAAGTTTAATTTTAAAAATGACTGAATACATTTTGTTTTGTGTATTATATACTGAAAGGCAAAAGAAATGTTGTAATATTGGAAATGACATTTAAGTATCAATGGAACATTTGAACCCATTTTTTAAAAATAATATGCCACTGAAATGCAGTACCGACTTTCATCAGAGAAGATAACCCCTCTCCATTGTCCCCCACGACAGTTTTGCCGCTGTTGTGTCCACTTGGATACGTTCCTGGCGGTGACGTTGGGTGAATATGGGTCTCCTGGCAGGACATCAACAAAACAGGTTCCTGGCTTGGAGACGTCGCCGAATGGTAGGTCACTGACTGATCGCTGGTGGTTTCCTATGGTCACCCAAGCTGTTTCTCTGGCCCTTGTGAATAGGTCTTGCGTGTTGATGGGCGATATGATGGTCCTGGCGGCGTGTTGTTACGGGGGTTGACCACTACGTGGGCGGTCATCAGTGCTGTTGGTGGCGTTGTATCGCACTCTATGACGTTCTATCGTTCGTACACTGCAACTGAAGTCATTAGCAATGACTCGAGCATGTTGACCAGCGTGCAGACGTCCAATAGCTTGTTGTGGTTGATCTCTCGATAACCTAGTCATAGCTGCTGTGTTCAGAAAACAAGTGAACGTTTGCCATCCAAGCCGGCAATTTATGCCTGAATGCATTTATGATGCACGTGCATCTCAATTTCAGTGTTGTGTTTGTGGGAACTTTTCCCTCTCCAAAAAACAAAAACATTTCTAACTTCAATCTCAAACAATACTTTATTGGGCAATGCAGGCTATACGACCACGATTCATGTTTCCTCAAACTTGACTTCTGGAGTATATTTAAAAAAATAGGTTCAAATACTCCATTGATACTCAAATGTCACCTCTAATATTACGACGTTTCTTTTGCCTTTCAGTATATATGACAGTTAATAGTTATTCATTTCGAACATGACGTAACCTATCTCCCTCATTAGATAATAGCGTAACCCTTCTTTTGTCGTTTCTCGTATCTGGGGCGACAGCGAACTTGACCACGAGAGGCTAACCGCATTGCGACACACGATCGTGCTACATTCAAAGAGCTCCTTGGAAAAAGGCTTCTCACTACAAATTGGTTTACAATATCGATAAATAGTTTGGTTTGTTCAATTTCCGGGATTCATCGGAATTCAACATAGGCAAAGGTTAGCGTTTAACGCCCTCAGTTGATCAGTTATGTTGAATTCCAATGAATCCCGGAAATTGAACAAGCCAAACTATTTATCTTCTAATTATTGTCCACTCACTGGTCCTGTGGTCTAGTGGGAAATTTTGAAAGGTTTCTTTCCCTGCATAGATGTTTCATTAAACAAAATAACATCTGCAGCACTGTATCTATCTGTAAACTACTTGAGCATGTCACAATATATTGCACTTAAAGATAAATGGTACCATATAATGAAGCCCTTTCTCCTCTACATTTTAAACATATGTCTCTGTTACACAAGTGATCGATCCAGCTTGGCCTGGGCGGTCAACAGCAACCTGAACATCTCAGAAGTATCATGAAATATGTTTGTATCTATAGAATAGTATAATATTTACATAGAAACAACTGGATAGTGTCTCAAATTTGAGATTTTGGTCTCACTGGGCCCTGCCAGTTAAAAGCAGTCTAAACTTAAAGGATATGTTTGAGTGAGTGAGTTTAGTTTTACGCCGCTTTTAGCAATATTCCGGCAATATCACGGCAGGGGGATATGTTTGATGCATTAACATCTTTATATTCAGAGAAAGTTTTGCATTTCAACAGAACTTACTTAGGCTGAATTTGTTGTCGGCAGTTCATTGTCGGCACGGGTATACCCTAGATATGTTTCTGTGTAACAGGACCCTAGCCAAAATCAGATTAGAGATATGTAACCTAGAACAAGTCCATTTTGCATTGTGTCGTTTTCTTGTTCATAACTGTTATACTGTTGTATTAGATGCATTTGACTGCATTATACAAAAGACTAGTAACAGTAGTGTGGCAGTGTAGTATGTTTATGTTACAGTGTTATTTTTTATCTTAGTTGGTACTGCTAGTTGAAAATCTTTCTGTTTTTATGTACATAATACACACCTTTAAATATGGTTATGTTAGCATACTTAGATGTGGTTGCCCTATCTTACAATACAGCTGAAGCATGCTCCAGCAAAGGATATCAATCAATGCATAAACACCAACCTTACAATAGCCAAAGCCCTGACCTGCCTCAGTCTTTTGTCCAGCTTATGTAATTATCACAGTTTAAACTCAGTGGTTGGCCTGCTAATTTAGTCACTCTAAAGCATTTGAACAGTAAGCAGCCTCACACTACAGGGAAAGGTTTTTAAAGGTATCTGGATATCAGCTCACCTCTGTATATTTCCACCGTACTCAATCTGTACTGTCGTATATTGTGTATCTGTTTGACACGCCTAATATATACAGTAGTGCAGTACACATTCAGCCTTACACAGACTAAAATGTGACCTGTGATGTTTCCACATATCTTACTTAGCCAATCTGCTTCCTCCAAACATTTTTTGTTGCCAGAGTGACATGAGGGAACGAGTTCCTTCCGTTCCCCCCAACTCTAAACAAAACTCTAAACCTAACCCTAACCCTTAACCTAGCCCTAACTTAGATTTTGGAATTTTAATCATTTTGTGTGTTCTCTAGTAATTGTTGCGTTAAGTTTCGTTTATAATTCTAGAATATTTATACATATTATTTGGGATGGGGGAACGTGAGGAACTCTTACCAAATAGGGCTCCAATGTAGTATACAGCTACTATACACTTCATTACAGTGGAGCAAATACGCTCTAACAAATCCTTTTTTTAAAACTGGCGACACAAAAAAAAACTACCTTACTACGACTCCACTGGATATGACGTTCTTGCAAATGACTACTATGTGTTTCTCCGTGTGGTGCAACGTGCAATTCCCCCTTTTCCGGACACATGTGTTAAACCAGATCCTTCTTCTTTATGCGCTGCCGATCTTTACGCACATGTTTACGGGTTATATTCTAAAACGGCCAGGAGTAAAACTAGCCCCAGACTTCTGTCCTTGATCAGCCATGCTTTCATTGCATATATTCATGCAATGTTTCAAATGTAGGTAAACAGGTGTTTGTAGGTGTTTAATGGGCAGTAGATTGATGTAAGCATCAATTGTTTAATTGCGTGCAGGAGAAACCGAATCCTTGCAAGAAATCCCCATACAGCCCCAAGGTTCAGTAAAAAGTGGCAACCCAATTTCGAGAATATGAACTTTATAAGCAAAATGACATAAATCCGTATTGAAGACGTTTATTCATTAAAGACATTGAATCACTCTCTTTTTTAAATGATATGTAAGCGACCGCCCAAACTTATCGCTACCGGCCTGGTTTAGGACTCAATGTGCGCTGCGACAGCTTGCGACATGTAAAGACAGAGCCCAGCTCCCGCGTTTCACTTTCGGTCTTAAAGGGACAATGACCTGGAGCAATTCCCCCGGGACTGGTTGTTGCTTTTGTTGTTTCTCCTCGACTACTCGGATGATATTCCAGAATTGAAGAAATGTGAACAGTTCCTATTGATGTACAAGTCTACTCCACACTGTACAACAGGAGAAATACCTACCAAACTGTTTCTTGGGCATAACATTACAACTAGACTGTACCTGTTGAACCCAGATTTAATATAAACAGTCACCGGAAAACAAGTCTTCCAAACAGTCGAGGCATCAAGAAAATTAGATGTGGGGCAAAAGGTCTGGGCAAGAAACTATAGTGCCATAGGTGATAGGTGGGTGTGCGGGACAGTATTGTCTGAAGATGGTGCACAAAATTATACCACTGAAGCGGGTGACAAAAGTCATTAGACGTCACATTGACCAGATCAGGACGGCAAAGTATTGACAACCCAGCACCCGAGTTTCTGTCCCATACAGCACTGCCGGTGGAGGCTTTCAGTGCAACAGCCTTAGTAGGGGGAACCGAGCCTAATATTGAGAAACCAGTCGCCTTTAGCGGGTAACAACACCCACTTGTCATCGTTGGTGAAGACGGATTCGGATCCTGTTGGCCAACGTGGTGTCCTCATTTAGGACTCGATCGATGGTTTCCCGTACACGACTGATCTGTGATTGGAGGGCTTCCCGGTTCGAGGAAGCGGATTCCAACCGAGTCGGTCTCTCGTCTTCCAAGTTTTTTATTCTGTCCTCGATATGACGTTTCATCGTCCTCCATTTCGGTGAGTTTTATTTTTTCGCGAGCGATGTGCTCGTCGACTTCGTTCAGTTTCCCCATGTTGTTCTGGAGTTCTCCGCGTACATGTTTCAAGGCTTCGTCTAGGCCTCGCAGTTCCCTGAGGGGAAATTCGAGCCCCGGCAAGGGGTTGTCATGGTACGTGGCCAACAGTTTTTCAATGCTGTCTGACGTTTCTTTAGCACATTGGGGTACGTCCCCAGTATTACTGAGTTCGGGCCTGGCTGCTTGCAGATCTTGGACGACCTTCAGGGGAAGCTTAGGCCGTGCGCCACCGTAATCTATGAAGCCTAGTTCATCACAGATCAGTTGACTCCCACCAGGGCGACTGGTGAGTGTTGACAAAGCATACGGTCCTTTCCCGTCTTTTTTCATGATATCGACCCCCAGGTGAGCCTTCAATCGCAGCGTGCCCTTCTTATTGATGGTAAATTTGGCATAGTCTCGTACCAACGGCTTGATGTTGTCTCTCTTTTCAACTGCTGCGTAATAATCGTCGACGGCCGGCTGTACAAGTTCAGCACTTAAGGGGTCGTTAGTGAATGTGGTGTCATCCCACACACTATCATCCCACATATCATCCATCGGGATGTACTCATGACCGCCTTCAGCCATTATTTATATTAAACTTTTATATTTTATCTATATAACAATGTATGGCAGGAAACTAGATCCTTTCCGAAGATCAAGAGAGCCTCTAGGCATCAGAGCCGTGCGCCAGTCGGTGACCATCACCAACAATCCCAGCAAGATAGACCAGAATCAAACGCTGCTGGTTAGATTCCCAAACCTGGGTGAGAATGACCTTATCGTACAAGGCACGGTTCGACTGACGTTCAACCTCACGTTGACCTCCGACAATGAAAAACGTGATCTCGTGCGGAACGTAGGTCGAGTCACCATCAAGAAAACCACCATCAAGATCAGCGGTAACGAGGTGCTGAGCATAGATGACAGTGACGTGTTTTATTGCTATGGGGACCTCTGGAAAAGCGAGGGAGAACGCATCAATGACGTGTACCAAGGTATCAGCAAATCGACTCGGTTGCGCGTGGGGTACGGCTTCACTGAAGACCAGCTAGACAAGATCTCGGACGGCGAAAAGGCCATCGCCCAAGCATACGGGAACAGGTTCTGCATGCCGCTCGACTTCGAGTTGCTCACGGGACACGCGCCGTTTTACCAGGCCGCGCTGGGTGATAGGCTTGAATACGAGCTCACGTTTAACGACTACAGCAAAGTAATGCGTACGCCGAACAGTGATGAGGCCAGTTACACCATAGACAACATCTCTCTGGAGTTCGACATGGTCACTAGCCTGGAGCTGGCCAGGCAGGTTCGAAGCCAGTACTCGGGGAAGGTGGCCATCCTGTACGACCGCATACTGAGGCATAGATCGGTCGTGCGGGATAAGAGAGACACTGTGTGGAATATCAACCTGAACGTGCCGGCGCGATCAATGAAAGGTATCCTGGTCGTCCCTGTGGAGGATTACGAGCCGTTCCGAAGGGACAGCGAGAAGTTTTTCAACCCCGAGATTGAAAAGGTGGAAGTGACCATCGAAGGCGTGCCCAACCAGCTGTTCAGTCATGGTATGAGGGCATACCAGCAGTGGGATGAGATAAAAAAGCTACCGGCTGTCAAACAACACCCATACATAACCATGAGACCTGGACCTGATTGGTGAATATCTGACCACCAAGTACGTGCTATGGTTGGACATGCGATCCACGGATGACGATAAACTGCACAGTAGCGGTCGCCGCATAGACAACGGCAGCGAGGGGATTACAATCCAGATTACCAAGAAGGCTCAACCCGCGGGCAAGTTGAAATTCTATCTGTACGTGATTATGGACGCGCAACTTAATATAGACAATGGGAGATTCGTGCAAGCCATCTACTGATTTGCCTGCCGGCGGCAAGCCATCTATTGATTTGCCCCGCGACCCGCACTGCGCCATAGTGTGCGGGCAGACAGGCTGTGGGAAGACCGTTTCGTGCTGGATATGTTGGAGGGGTACTACTGGGATGTGTTCGATACCATCGTTATCATGTGCCCTACTCCGCACATGAATAGAACGTACACGGAAAGACCTTGGGTGATGACGGACCCAGACGTACAGGACGTCTGCAGGACTGGTTGAAGGCTTATCACAACAAATTCGAGGGGGCGTCGACGCTGTTTATCCTGGACGACTGCAGCTCTAATCGGGAGATAACAAAAAAGAGAGACATGTTATCATACCTGGCCTTCTCCTGCCGGCACGCAAATCACAGCGTCTGTGTACTAACGCAGAAGTTCAACTCGGTGTTCAAAGACCTCAGGGAGCAGACGCGATGGGTGGCCTTATTCCACTGCAAGGACAGGGATTCGTTCGAGGAGTGTTTGAGAGAGAACGATGTGATGAGCAAACTAGAACGGGAACGTGTGAAGAAACAGCTCGCTGAAACTAAACATGCTAAGCTCGTGCTCAAGACCAACCAACCCATGGCCTATAGGGTGTTTTAGCTTAGCAAAGCTTAGCAATGCTTAGTAATGCTTAGCAAATGCTTAGCATTTAGCACTTATCAGTTATAGTTATAGTTATGGTTGTTTTTGAAGTGCTCGTCGTGTGCAACTTAACCTTCATTTCGCTGTGTTTAACCTGCATCGGGTATTATATTATTAAAACTAAAACTTACTTATTACATAATAAGATGGAGTGTGATGAATTGCTAGAACAACTGTTGGAGGGGGATAAGCGAGGGGACGATGATAAGTGAGAGAGACTGGTAGCGTTGGCTGTTGGTGTCAAAGCCAAACATTACTTTGGGGACTACACTCCCGATAAAATTCACAAAATGTCAACCAAAGAAATCGATAAGCTGTACGCTAGATACGAGGCTAGACTCGGGGCCGAGATGACAAAGACTATAGGACCGGCTATGACGCAGATATACACTGGTATTGCGTCGTACTTCCTTCCCATTCCCTAGGAACGTCGACTTTACCTGTGGGAGGACCTCGAGAAAGACCCTTTTATTGAACACACCTTGAGCTCTATCAGCTGCGTACTGTACCACAAATACGGTATGTTTCTACCCCTGGTGACGGCGGCGATTATCACAGCAAAGCATTGCCAATTTAAGGAGGGAAAAAATAATAATAATAGTATACAAGATGGATGCTGCCCAAGAAATGACACAGGAGGAGACCCCACCCCAACTGGAGTTGACCCCTTCAGAGGAAACCCCACCCCAAACCCCTGCCGAGGTGACCCCTACAGTCACCAGGCAGAAGAACCCTAAGAGAGTCGCCGCCGGTAGAAAAAGGTGGCCTAACCAACATAAGAGTAACACGTGGAGCCGGGCTCCACTCCTGTTGATTGCAGGCACAACTGCTGCCGTGGCTATCTCATGGTTATATAATAAACAACCACCCAGGGAGGGAAACCCTTCCCATGAACCCCCACAATTAGAGGTCAACCCACATATCATGTTATAAATATATATTTTCATATCATATACATAATGTCTGAGGGGAAAACGTTCGTCAACGAAGCAAACCACGCCACCGTGGTCGCCAGTCTAGCCGTAGGGTACGCTCGGTTGACAAAAATGGTGCTTAAACAACCGACTATCAAGCTAGATTTCAACCTGCAGGATATGGGTATGCTCATAATGAACCTTGGTATGGCGATGGCAACCAAGGACATCCTCGTAAAATAAGGGATCCTACCGGAAAATATTTTGAAGTAAATGTAA